ACACACACACACACACACACACACACACACACACACACACACACCCCACACATACTGTTTATTACATATATACATATGGTTTACTACAGGGTACTGAATATAGTTTCTTGTGCTGTACAGTAAGACCTTGTTGTTTATCCATCCTATATATAATAGTTTGCATCTGCTAATCCTAAACTCTCAATCCATCCCTCCCCCGTCTTCCCCTTGGCAACCTGATCACCCTCTTTTAAACTGCAAAACTCCCTTCCCATTTAGTGAAAGCATTCGCTATTCCTCTTTCCTTTTCTTTTTTCTACATAACCCTTATCATCAACGGGTATATTATATATCTTATTTGTTTATAATAACAATTTACATTTTAAGAGGCAGGGATTTATATCTGACCTGTTCACAGTGAACTCCAGAGACAAAACAATGCCTGGTACATAGATGGCACTAATATGTATTTGCTGAACGAATTAGGTACTGTTCAGGAATATTAAATGTGTGATAATACTATGATAAAAAGTCAAGAAATAACCTAAAATTGAGTATGAGTTATAGCTGAGGGGCAGAGAAGACAATATATGATCAAAGAAGAACATATTATACTTTTCAAAATAAAAGGATGATGGGCTTCCCTGGTGGCGCAGTGGTTGAGAGTCCGCCTGCCAATGCAGGGGACACAGGTTCGTGCCCTGGTCCGGGAGGATCCCACATGCCACGGAGCGGCTGGGCCCGTGAGCCATGGCCACTGAGCCTGCGCATCCGGAGCCTGTGCTCCGCAACAGGAGAGGCCACAGCAGTGAGAGGCCAGCGTATCGCAAAACATAAATAAATAAATTAATTAAATAAAATAAAATAAAAGGATGTTCACCTTATTACTGTTTAACCTGAAAATACCTATTATATAATCTCTTTTGAGAATGTATTTTACATGCATTTGTTAGTGGAGGAAGTACTCAAAGTATTTTAAACAATGCTGAAAAAGCGTTAGATCAAGATCTAGATAATAAAATAAACTGAACTATCTTAAAGAGAGGTGAGGAAAGAGAGAAAATGTATATAAACAACACTTTAAAGGAATTTTGTAATGAAAAGACAACACAGAGATGAAACAGTAGCTAGAGGGGTACATGAAGTCATGGGAGTTTTTTTTTATGTGCATTTCTTTTTTAATGGAAATACTAAGGCATCTCTATATGCCAACTGAAAGATTCCGTAGGGAGAGAAAAACTTTCCATGAAGCTATTAAAAAGGAAAGTGGAGAAGGCCTTAAGGAGACAAAAAGAGCAAAATTCAGAGATTTCAGATGAAGGGACATATAATTTTATGAAGTAAAGATTGTTAGACTCTTGTCTCACATCTACTAAGTGTAAAATAAACTAAGCCACATTCTTACTAGAAGTCAAAATTTAAGCATTGAAGTTGAGGGATAAACAGCAAAAAAAAAAAAAAAAAGAAACCTACTTTGAAAGTCACAGTTGCCTTTGTACAGTAAAATCCTATAGAAACAATAGGATCCTTCAAAGTCTGTGCTTTTTGTTGATGTGTGGTTGATGTAGGATCATTCCCAAGGTAGTCTTCCTCACCATCATCATAACTCACAATTGCAGGCACAAATGACCAGGCCCATGATACCCATCCCTGTGGCTGCTCATCCTCTTGCTGTGAATACAGCTCTTGGCCTTTGTACTGAGCAGGATACTGCATATCTACTCGTGTTTCATCTTCAGCACCTATCAATCAAAATAAAGTCATTTTAAATAAAGGGAATTAAAGCAAGAGGACAATTAGGAATTTAAATTATATAAAAGTTTCTCCCACATGATTCTTTCTACATATAAAGTATGAACAAGTCATACATTGGTTATTATTACTTGAAACCAATAATTTAGCATTACCATTTTCAAGTTTCTATATATTGTACTGTATAAATCTCCTTTCATAATCCACAATGTTATATGGGAAGTAGTTTATTACATACTTTTAAATGTGTTTGATAAATACAAAGAATAAATTCATTCTTTAGGATTTCACTCATTAATTTAAACAACAACAACAACATATAACCTACCTTCCAAAAATAAGGCTACGGTGCTGAAAAATTGACTTTTCTCAGAAACATAATATCAGAAAAATCCAAGAAAAGTTCCTGATTTCCTGATGCACCCAACAGAGAAAGAGAATGGCAAGTATTCTAGGCAGAATGTGCCCCCACCAAGAAAAGAATTATCCCAAAGAATGAAAGTAAATGTTATAAGGAAACTATTCTCATATGTAGTTAAGAAAAATAGTGACTTTCTTATTAGTGAATAACATCTTTCCTATTCTATAGATGAAAAATTATAGCAAAGAACTTTTATGTGGTTACAAATTGGCAGACTAAGGATTTAAATTCCAACCACTGTAACTTATTCCACCTTTGTAAGACAAAATCCATCAAGGTCCCTTAATGTTATTCTAACAATACAAACAAAAGAGATGCAGATCATCATGGAATTTACAGAAGAAATTACTTTTTTAAAAATTCATGGTATAAGCACCCTCCAGCAGATTCAAACATACATACTCTTCAATGATAAATCAATAAATACACACACTCCATTAAATATCATCCTCATTCAGATTCACTTCCAGGTTTTCTGGTGAGAAAAACTTTGTAACTTTTTTAATTCTCGTGACAGGAGACTCTTGGAACATCGTACACTTTTAGGTCATGACACATGGCTATTGACCTCTTTCATCTGGGACAAAAAAGACTTGATAAATAGTAACTAGAGTACCTAAAATACAGTACCAAGAGATCTTAGCCATTTTACTTCAAAATAAATTATAAAACTTACAAATCCAGAAAACATTTTACTTGACCTTCATATCTTGCTATTAACCTAAATATCATATAAGTTTCTATTGGGGAATAAATAAAGCCTGTTATTAACTGTCCCTTGTAAGATCTCAAATTGGACATCATCAGTGAATATCATCTTGGTTATAAAACAAAAAGTCAGGTTAGCTCAACCCAGGACCAGGCTGGGTCCAAAGAGATGGACTCTGGACCTCTCTTGTCAAAACCAATAAACAGGAGGAGTATCCCACTGCTTGATCTTTTGAAACAAAAGAAAGAAACATCACTAAGAGAAGTCTAAGAAATCAGTCACTATAATTTATACATAATATTAATTAAAAATTAAGAGGGATTTTTCATGAAAGAAGGTTTTGAAGTTCTAAATCTTTGCTTACTTCCTTGTAAAAAGAATGAATTGTGACCTGGAACAGAAAAAAGCATCTCTTTGATCTCTGGTCAGAATTCTCAAAATACTCTTTGCCCTTGCAATGGTATATCCTAACATCCTTAGATGACAAAACAGAGTATTGAGTCCAGGCAGACTGAGGTGGCTAGAGTTCGCAGGGCAGAGTACCAAACAAGAAAGACCTGTTCAGGGTGAGAGCTCCTGAGACCTGGAGAGGGTCCCACTCCAGTCCTCACCTAAGTATTAATCAGTTTCATGTAAGGAAACTACTGAGGCCATGAAAAGAACCACCAGAAAGGGGCAAAAACATCCCCAAGACATAAACAGAATTGGGGAAGGACACCATGGCATATTAAAATCAAGGCGCTTCAAACTTTCCGAGAAAAGGTTCACTGGCTTCACCAGAGTGTCAAAGGAGTCCATAGCACACACAATAAAAGGTTAAGGATCTCTGCTTTAGACAGATGAAAAAACGAATTCAGACTCATTTGGAAGCAAGCAACCCTCTTTTTAACATACATAAACAAACAAACAAATAAACAAACACCTACTCACCTTCTTAGATCACAGAAAGGAATAGTTACAAAGGAAAATTTTGAAAAATACATTTGATCAAAATTTAAAACTCTGCTCAAGAGACACGTATTTAAAAATGAATTAGGCAACTCAGACCAGCAAAAAATACTCCCCAAGTGCATCTGACATGTATATGACAAAAGACTTGAATTCAGAATATATAAAGAACCATGTGTATGTACTGTATAGCAGAAACTAACACAACATTGTAAATCAACTATACTCCAAATTAAAAAAAATTAAGAAAAAAAAAGAACCACCAATCAGTAATAAAACCCAAAAATGGTTTAAAAATAGGCAAATACTTACCATAAACTTCACAAAGGCAGATATATTAACTGTCAATAATCACATGAAAAAAGTTCAAAATAATTGATCAGGGAAGTGCAAATTAAAACCACAATGAGCTATCAAAACATATCCATCCGAATAGTTAAAAGTAAAAAGGACTGACAACAACAAATGTTGGCAAGTATGTGAAGCAATTGGAACTCTCATACATTGTTGATAGGAATGTAAAATGGCACAACCACTTTGAGAAAACAACCTGGTAGTTTCTTTCTCTTGGCATTTACCCAAGAGAAGGAATAGCACATGTCTATAAGAGACTTCCAGAAGAATGTCCAGGGCATCTTTATTTATAATAACCAAAACTGGAAATAGTTCAAGCATCCATCAACAGGGGAATGGCTAAATAAACTATGTTATATTCATATGGTATAGTCATACAATGTACCTAGCAATAAAAAGGAAAGAAATACTGATATATACAACAACACAGATGAATCCCCAAAATACAACGCTTTTAGGGCAGTGAAAATACTCTGTATGATACCATAATGATGGATACATTTGTCCAAACCCATAGAATGTACAACAGCAAGAGTGAACTTTAACTAAACTATAGACTCTGGGTGATAATGATGTAGGTTCCTCAATTGTGACAAATGTATCGCTCTGGAGGGGATGCTGATAATGGGGGAGGCTATGCACGTATGAGATCAGGGGTATATGGGAAATCTCTGTACCTATCCTTCAATTTTGCTGCAAATCTGAAACTGCTCTAAAAATTGTCTTAATAAAAAGTTTTTTAAAATTAAAAGTAAAAAACAATATTATGCTTAATGAAAGAATCCTTTCACAAGAGAATTCATACTATATGATTCTATTTATACGAAATTCCAGAAACAGCAAAAACCGATCCACGATTTTTTAAAGATTCAGAACAGGGTTTTCTTGAGTGGAGTGGGGGTGGGCAGGCAGCTGGAGCAAGGGATGACTGGAAAGAGGCATGAGATAAGCTGGTGAGATGTTAATGACCCATATCCTGATGGGTGTTTTGCATCACACTGGCATACTCATTTCTCAAAACTTCTTAAATAGTATACTTAAGATTTATGCATTTCACCTTGTGAATTTAATCTTCAAAAAAAGAAAAAGAACCATCAATAAATATAAACTCTAGTTAATGATATGCTGCTGAAGTCTAGGGGTGCGGTATACTGATGTCCATAACTTAACCTCGAAAGGCATCAGAAACTGGTTGAATTGATGGAGAGAAAATGGTGTTAGATGAACAGATACATGATACAGCAAATGTGACAAAATATTAATTGTAGAATCTAGATGATGAGTATGTGGGTGTCCACTGTATAATATTCCTTCAACCTTTCTATATATTTGAAATTTATCATAATAGCATGGTGAAAAAAATGAATTGAACAGTTTCTATATGCTAGGTTTTGTTCTAGGTGTTAGGTAATGAATCGCTAGGACAGGAACAATGTCTAACAAGAATTCGCTGCCTAGTGTGAAATGAAATAAAATGTTTTATATCTACATATGCTTATTAATGTTCCCTAAGCTTTTTTTAAGGTGATAAAAAATTTTTATTAAGCTATAATTTAAATACCATAAAATCTGGTCTTTAAAAGTATACCATTCAGTGGTTTTTAGTGTAGTCACAAAGTTGTACAACCATCATCACTATCTAATTTTAGAATATTTTCATGTTCTAAGAAACATGAAACTCCAAAAAGAAAACCTCTACACATTAGCAGTCACTCTCCATTCCCTCCTTCCCATAAGCCCAGGTTACTAATCTCCTTTCTGCTTCTACAGAACTGGCTATCATGGACATATCATATCAATGAAATCATACAACGTGTTCCTTTTTGACTGGCTGCTTTCACTTAATGTTTTCAAAGTTTAGCATGTATCAGTATTTCATTTTTTGTATGGTTGAATAATATTCCAGTGTATAGATACACCACAACTGTTTATCTACTCATCAGCTGATGGACATTTAGGTTATTAAACTTTTTGGTTATTAAGAATAATGCTGCCATGAACATTCACATACAAGTTTTTATGTTAGACATATGTTATCAACTCTCTGTCATATAACCCTAGGAATAGAACCCTACCTAGGCTCATATGGTAACTCTATGTTCAACTTTTTGACAAACCAGATTGTTTTCCATTCCCACCAGCTATACATAAGGGTTCCAATTTTCCCAAATCCTTGCCAACACTTATTATGTGTCTTTTTTATTATAACTACACCGCTTAGTGACTGTAAAGCAGTATCTCACTGTGGTTTTGATTTGCATTACCCCTCATGAATAATGATATTGAGCATATTTTCATGTGCTTGTTGGACACCTGTATATCTTTTCTGGATACATGTTTATTCAGGTCTTTTGCCCTTTTTTAAATAAGATTATTTGTTCCTAAGTTTTAAATGCCCTTTTCTAAAGGCTCAAACTATGGAAGTTAATCATCATCTTCTCCAAATTTTTCCTGAGTCTCAGACCCAACACAAGTCAAAGCCAATCATCCCGTGCACCATTTTTCTACTTCAGATCACTCATACTTTTATTAAACAAACATCTTATCATTCTACCATACATCATGCTTAACTAACTGTTCACATGTCTGTCTACTCCACTGTATATTAAGATTTTAAGGGAAGAGAATTTGTCTCTATTTTCCCACATTTCTTTATCTCTACATTCTACCACATTCCCAGCAATAATGTCTTACACACAGTAGGCTTTAGTAAAAGTATAATGAACTGAATAACTGAAATTAACCCACTAAGTATCTTTCAATGAAGTATATACTTCTTTAAGTAATGCTCCAATTAATTAAGTAGGTATCCTTCAATGAAGCATATAATTAGGTATAATTATAGTCAATTATAATTACATATAATAATTAAGTATAAATAAGTTAATTAGTTATAATAACTCTTGCTGAGACTCTGCAGAAAAATTATCAATATAGTTGTTCCTTGAACAACAAGGCAGTTAGAGGTGCAAGTTGAAAATCCAGATATAACTTTACAGTCAACCCTCCATCATATTCACATTTCTGCATCTGAGGATTCAACCAACCATGTATCATGTAGTACTGTAGTACGTATTTACTGAAAAAAATTTGTCTACAAGTGGACCTTGCGCAGTTCAAATCCATGCTGTTCAGGGTCAACTGTACTATAATTTACTAGGAAATCTTGAGGTTGGACTGCCTTAACTTTTATGTAATGTATATTCCAAACACTTATACTTATTAGAAATATTCAAGTTCTTTTAAACATGTAGAAAATAGAAAGTCAGACTAGTATGCAAAATGTAGGAAAGAAAAAAATTAGTGTCAAACAAGCAAAATAAAATCACCCCATCATGGGGCTTCCCTGGTGGTGCAGTGGTTGAGAGTCCACGTGCCGATGCAGGGAACACAGGTTCATGTCCCGGTCCAGGAGGATCCCACATGCTGCGGAGCGGCTGGGCCCATAAGCCATGGCCGCTGAGCCTGCACGTCCGGAGCCTGTGCTCCACAACGAGAGAGGCCACAACAGTGAGAGGCCCGCGTACCACAAAAAAAAAAAAAATCACCCCATCATATTAGAACACTGCAAAACATAATCTAATGTTGTAGTTTTCGAAGTTTCACAATAGTGAAAACACTTTGTAAAAACAATAGTTATAAAATAAAAGTTTTTGTTATATTTACCTGTAATGTTTCCTAACATATCTTTATTGTGACAGGCAGATTCTTCTGTTTCTCCATCTTTAAAATTTCCTATTTCTCCATAGTAAAGAGCAATCCCAAGTTGCATTATACGGATAAACATAGGCAATTGCTGATCAGTGATAGAAAGTTTCAAACTCTCTACTAAGGTATGAATCTGTATTTTGAAAAAAACAAAAACATCAACAAAAGCATATTCAAAGGGAGTACCATTTAGCATAAGCAGAGAAATGTTAAGTCTTAAAATGGAAACCAGAGGAGAAACAGTAATGTCCCAACATTTCTCATATTTAAGCCAAAATAATAGCTTAATATCTTAGGAATTTAAACAGATTTTTCTATGATGATCAATACACTTTAGATAGAAACTATATTAATCCAAACTATATAAGTGGAAATAGAAATGATAATGAAAAGATACAGTCACACTGGATTTCCAGATAACTTTTCCCAAAAGTTTTTGTTACCAAAATACCCACCTTATAATAAGAGTACGACAGTACTCCAACAAACACCATAAAAATCTCTGTCACAACTAAGAATAAAAGTTTCATGTCATTTTAGTAAGACTTTAATCACCCTTTTCAGCTTTATGAACCAAAAAGAATACACACACATCCTAAAAACATGTTGTTGAGTAAATTACTAACATTATAACTATGTAAGTATGCACATGATAAAATGATTATTGTCAAATATGGAAAACCAAGTGAAAACATGATCAGGAATATCTCTCAAACCAACTTTAAATAAAAGATTTAAACATAGTATAAAACTTATAACATGAACCAGTTATAAGAAATAAGATTAATTATTATCAACAAGGCACAAAGCAGTCCAATCTAAGTTCTTATAGAATGAGACATCAATTCAATATAAAGACAGCCTCAGTGTAATGATTTCCTGCTGTTAGATAAACACAGAATAAAACCAATTAAGCCATAAAGTCAAGTCTCTTGGAAGGTTTATTTTAACTAACTGGTATTTTAATGTCTATGAAACATGAAAAAGAAGTAACGGTAATCGTCGTATTTTTAGGGCTAAAGGCACAAAAAGTTGTATTTGAAGGGGAAGACAGTTGTGTGGGGAGGTGTAAAATACCATATTCAAATATGAGTACAGGTTTCTTAAAACTGACTTAAAAATCATACACTTACTAGACCCTGAAATGAGGGACAGGTTGAGAGGGCGGGCACCCCAGGCCTGCCAAGCTCTTCTTCAATTTGAGATTTCTCTGCCATACCCTTTAAATACCATACAGCACCAACAGCACCAGTGATAAGCTGTCTTAGCAAAACCGGTGTCAACTGTGTGTGTATGTATGTATATATGTGCTTAAAATACTATACACACCAACATATATATCTTTAACATATAAGATACTTTACACACTATATATATATATATACACACACACACACACACACACATACATGTAAATATCTTTAAAATCAATAAAGTTAACCCACAATAGAAAAACTGACAAAGAACCTGAATGAATTTTTCAAAGAGAAAATAATGGCCAGTGAACATATTTTCAAAAATCTAACTTTGGGCTTCCCTGGTGGCGCAGTGGTTGAGAATTTACCTGCTAATGCAGGGGACACAGGTTCGAGCTCTGGTCTGGGAGGATCTCACATGCCACGGAGCAACTAGGCCCATGAGTCACAACTACTGAGCCTGCGCGTCTGGAGCCTGTGCTCCGCAACAAGAGAGGCCGTGACAGTGAGAGACCCGTGCACTGTGATGAAGAGTGGCCCCCACTTGCCACAACTAGAGACAGCCCTCGCACAGAAACAAAGACCCAACACAGCAAAAATAAATTAATTAATTAATAAACTCCTACCCCCAACATCTTCTTTAAAAAAAAAAAAAAATCTAACTTTGACAATAATCAAATAAATATTAATTTGTATTATTTTTGCCAAACAGCTTGGCTTTTTTAAAACATGATCATATTTAAGGATAGCAGGAGTGTAATATAGGCACTCCCCTAATGTTCATGAGCATATACACTGGTTAAACCTTTCTGGAAACAATTTTGCAGTACAGATTACAGGGCTTAAAAAAGTTTAAACCCATTAATAAGATATTTGCAATTACAGAAATCTCTCCTAAGGAATTAATCAGAGATGTGGTCAAAGATTTATATGTAGAATTTCATTCCCCTGAAAAACTGTTAAGAAAAGTAAATTTTCAAAAACAGGGGAAATGTTAAATAAATTACATACCCTAAGCTCCACATCTCATAGATGATAAAATCTCTAAAGACATATTTAGTACTCACAAAAGATAGAAAATTACAAAAAGCCCACCCAAAATACAAATAAACTCAAAAGCCACTTGAACATATGTGAGAGTCTTAGACAAATAATTAGGGTGTCTGGAACATTCTGGGAAATTCCCTGTCTTTCAGGTGATCAATGAGGTTAACCATGTCCATTTAATACTTATTTCCAAGCACTAAGAGGTGGAAGAATGATGGGTCTAATTCGAAACAGTAAATCTTACATCACAGTAGTATTAAAAAAAAAAAACCTCAAAATTTAATTTCAGTTAAGAATAATGGTACCTCACACTCAGTGATTACAAAAGTCAAAAACCACCTGTCAACAAGTTTATTTAAAGGTACTTTTTACAATAAAATATCATGGCTAGTCAGTTTTGAGAAAAACTTATATGCCAACACTAAGTTTTCCTCAAGTTCACTTATTTTTACTTTCCTCTAAGTTAGCCACATCCTAGAATGGACAATTAAATCTGTACTAATGATCAGTAAGATTTTTTTATATAGTAAGGCTTCCCTATATCCATTACTTGCTTTCAAAATATATCTTGAATCCACCCTTAACATTCCCCAACTCTACTAGTAGATTCAAGGTCAAAGAAGGAAAGTAAGTCCACTGTCCTGAGACAGTGGCATAATTACTTTTGAATTAATACTTTTCCATGCTTATCTTTACCTAAGAAGCTAATTCAAAAATAGAAGGGAAAAGTAGCAGAATTTAAACAATGTGCACTGTAGGATGCATAAGGAAAAAAAAACATACTCATGACTGAGCACTACCAAAGAAGAATGGGTGTATTTCATATATAAATAGAAACTTAAGTACAATAAAGCTACATAAAATAGCAAGTGTTTTATGTTTTAAAAAACGTAATGTAGGGCTTCCCTGGTGGCGCAGTGGTTGAGAGTCCGCCTACCGATGCAGGGGACGCGGGTTCGTGCCCTGGTCCGGGAGGACCCCACATGCCCCGAAGCGGCTGGATCCGTGAGCCATGGCCGCTGAGCCTGTACGTCCAGAGCCTGTGCTCCGCAACGGGAGAGGCCATAACAGTGAGAGGCCCGCGTACCGCAAAAACAAAAAACAAACAAACAAAAAAAACCTAATATAAAAATAATACATAATTTATACAGCCATGCCCAAACAGGCACAGTAGTCAATCCCAGTGTTCAGACTTGGGGCTGGCTTTTCCATTATAGTACAAAAGCCTGTAATTCAATAATAAAACTTCATTCCACATTAAAACTTAGTTAACAAGATCACAAGTCACTGTGTGAATTCTTCTTCAAAGACAGATAAATAGGTAGACAGACAGACAAGAGGTACAGAAAACTGTTATGCAATAAAAGAACACAAGATTTACACTTAAAGAGTAACTATACACATTAAAAATATTTACCAGTACCTTGAAGAACAAAATGAAGCAACTGACAAAGGATTAATCTCCAAAATATACAAGTAGCTCATGCAGCTCAATATCAAAAAACAAACAACCCAATCCAAAAATGGGCAGAAGACCTAAATAGATATTTCTCCAAAGAAGATATACAGATTGCCAACAAACACATGAAAGAATGCTCAACATCATTAATCATTAGAGAAACGCAAATCAAAACTACAATGCGATATCATCTCACACCAGTCAGAATGGCCATCATCAAAAAATCTACAAACAATAAATGCTGGAGAGGGTGTGGAGAAAAGGGAACCCTCATACACTGTTGGTGGGAATGTAAATTGATACAGCCACTATGGAGAACAGTATGGAGGTTCCTTAAAAAAATAAAAGTAGAACAACCATACGACCCAGCAATCCCACTACTGGGATATACCCTGAGAACACCATAATTCAAAAAGAGTCATGTACCACAATGTTCATTGCAGCTCTATTTACAATAGCCAGGACATGGAAGGAACCTAAGCGTCCATCGACAGATGAATGGATAAAGAAGATGTGGCACATATATACAATGGAATATTACTCAGCCATAAAAAGAAACGAAATTGAGTTATTTGTACTGAGGTGGATGGACCTAGAGCCTAGAGTCTGTCATACAAAGTGAAGTAAGTCAGAAAGAGAAAAACAAATACCATATGCTAACACATATGTATTGAATCTAAAAAAAAAAAAAAAAAAAGTGGTCATGAAGAGCCTAGAGGCAAGACGGGAATAAAGATGCAGACCTACTAGAGAATGGACTTGAGGACATGGGGAGGGTGAAGGGTAAGCTGGGACAAAGTGAAAGAGTGGTAGTGTACATATGGACATATATACACTACCAAATGTAAAACAGCTAGTGGGAAGCAGTCGCATAGCACAGGGAGATCAGCTCAGTGCTTTGTGACCAGCTAGAAGGGTGGGATAGGGAGGGTGGGAAGGAGGGAGACCAAGAGGGAAGAGATATGGGGATATATGTATAACTGATTCACTCTGTTATAAAGCAGAAACTAATACACCATTGGAAAGCAATTATACACCAATAAAAATGTTAAATAAATAAATAAAGCTCCTCTAAAAACAAAAAAAAAAGACATTACTGAAAAATTCCCATTGACATAAAATTGTAATTACATGTTGAAACCACAGATAAAAAGCTAAAATTTCCTAAACCAATAAACTAAGATATTAGATAAGCAAATTTAAGTCTTGCAACATTACCTAAGAAAGATAAGGGTCAATAACTATTGCTATCACATAAACAATTTATACGGATTGAAATAAAGATTGATCTTCAGTCTACCATGGATATAAATACACTTTTTGATATGATCTCTTCTATCTACTTGAAGAGAAAAACACTAATCAGGTGGACAAACTAAAAAAGAAACTACAGTCACAAAAAAAAAGGTGTCCCCAAAATACCTCTATTAGAACACACAATACAAAAAGTTATAATGTGTAACAATTAACATAAAAGTTATAAATAAAACATTTTTTACAAAAAATAATGGTTTATATATTTATGAGGTTAATTTCTTCTTTGCTTTTTAATAATAATTAGCATGCATGAAAGTCAATAAGGTAGAAACATGCAACTCAACTATTAGGAAAAAAAACACCTACTTTAATAACAGATGGCATCTTGGAATTTAGGTTATCATATGTAAAATGCAGACGTGTTCTGAAGGAACATTTGTACAATAAAGGATCCTGGTAAAATTCTATTTTACCACTAGCATTTCGTTTATCAAGACAAACTGTACAGTCGGAAAAATTGATAACCTTTCTCAGCACCAGATCAGTTGCTAAAAAGGAAAGAAAAACATTTTAAGTAAAAAGTAAAGTTAGAGGGAAAAAAGTCAATTATTTATTAGTGTAACAGTAATAAAAATAATAGCAGAAATAAGATTAATAGCGCATTTAATACATGATGTCAGAACCTATAAAAGAACTTTTCATTTATTATATCATTTAAATCTTCCAACAACCTTAGGCACAATAATCCCCATTTTATGTACAAAGAATCAAATAGAGCCTAAAGAAACGAAGCAGCTTGCCCCCAATTTGCTTGACACCTAACTACAAATTTAAGACAAACTTTATGAAAAATTTTGCTACATTTCACTATCTGCAATGTAATATTAAATAACAATAATAAAATAAAATTCTTGGGCTTCCCTGGTGGCGCAGTGGTTGAGAGTCCGCCTGCCGATGCAGGGGACACGGGTTCATGCCCCAGTCTGGGAAGATTCCACATGCCACGGAGCGGCTAGGCCCGGGAGCCATGGCTGCTGAGCCTGTGCGTCCGGAGCCTGTGCTCCGCAATGGGAGAGGCCACAACAGTGAGAGGCCTGCGTACCGCAATAAATAAATAAATAAATAAATAAATAAATAAATAAATAAATTTCTTGAAAAACCACATTAAAAAAATATTTTGAGTAACAGTCGCTCATTTAACATTTATTTTACACTGAAAAACTTACTGCTACTCTCAAAAACTGCACTCTTCAGTATGGTAGCCACCATCGATACGGTGTTATTTAAATTTACCTATGAATTAACTAAAATCACATAAAACTAAAATTTCAGGTCCTTGGTTACATTAGGCACATTTCATGTACTCAAAAGCCACATACAGTTAGTGGCTAGGGTACTGGACAGTAAAAAATAAAACATTTCCATCATCACAGAATATTCTAGTGGCCAGCACACCTCTAAATAATAACTAATGAAGAAATTACAAAATTACCAGTAATGGTATAAAGTTTGTTTTCAAGGGAATAAAAATGGAAACAATTGCTGGTAAAGTATCAAACTAGAAAATAAAACCTTTAGCAAATTTATTCCTAACTAATAAGCAATTCCTAGGTGAACATTAGGCCCAAATCTACTTGGTCAGTGACTTTCAGCTACCAACTATCCACATGCTATGGCCATGGGAACCTTCAAAACAATAAACTATACTTCCTATTTCTGAGTATATCCTGGCAACCTCTAATTAATTCAACATTTAATTTTCTTCTCTTTTTTTGGATTTAAGTTTTTAAGAAGTATAAAGAGTATGCACATGTATGAAAACAGTAAAGTTTTATTCAGCCAATAAATTTCAAATTTGTCTGTTAGTTGAAAAAAACAAACACCATATAATTTCATTTTGAAATTAACTGAAATCAAATAAATGATTTAGTTACTGTTATATACATGTACATAAATTAAAGAAATTATCATAATAGGACAAGAAATGAAAGAAACCAGCTAGATGCTTCCTTCCCTCTCTTTATAATAATTATAATTCACTGAGTATTTGCTATTAGACACTACACTAAATCTTTTACATCCATTATCTCTTATAATATTTATATGGCTCTGTTTAAAAGCTGTGGAACAAAGGCACAGTAAGGGTAAATAATCTGTAATGTTAGACAGTTTATAAGGAGCAGAGGTGTAATTCAAACTCTGACAAGCTTACTCCAGAGCACATGTTCTTATCCATTATGCTATAAGAATATTAAGTGATCATATTTCAAGGATATCCTAGAAAATTTTTTGGTGAGAGAGGAAATTATTAAGCTTTGAAAAATATTTTTCTTCAACACAAATATAACAGGAACTATCTTAAAAAGATACAAAATGAATTCTGGTTCTGGTACTTACTTTACATAACGTACTACAATTTAATCTATAAAATGAGGATAATAACTATGTCTATCTAACAAGCACTGTGGAAAATGATTCTGCATTATTTTGAAAATGCGAATATTTGCATATCCTCCCAACTAACAAACCCACTCCTAAGTACTATATATGCCCTAAAGAAATGCTTACATGTATGCATAATGTTTTCAAGATTCATCCATGTTTTAGCATGTATCAGGACTTCATTCCTTTTTACAGCACTTTTTTAAAGCAATTAAATGATAAAATTCTAATACAGCAGTTAACTCTAGGAGGAAGCAAGGGAATAGGACAGGGAAAAATACTTTGGAAGGGGCAAACTGTTAATGTTCTAGTTACTTAAAGGGTAAGCGTTCGTTATATTGTGTTATAACAAGTGTATGTTACATAAATCCTTTTAAGTACCAAATGTTGAATTAAAAATTAATAAAAGGGGAAACAGTATCTACCTCAGAAGCTAAAGGATTCAAACAAGATAATTAACTAAAAAAACAACAAAAACAAAAAACATAAACAGCACCAGGCACAGCAGTTAACAAGCACTCACTCAATAAATGGAAAATACTCTTTGCTGTTTTTACCACCACCATCATCATGAGCTTTCATGTGGTATCATACTTGACTCTCATAAATACACTGGTAGGTTGGCAGTAATGATAATTCACATTTACAAATGACTTACCCAAGGTTGCACTAGGTTAGTGCTGGAGGGAAGATTTGAACCAAGATCCCCTAACTCCCAATTCAAGACTCTTTCTAATTCATTATAAATAACTTCCCAGAGTAATATTTGCTTTACTTCTATGTAAAAACTATAAATGACATTTCTTCCCCTAAAATTTCAACTCATTTATTCAATCCTGCATCATCCAGTTCTGTTTGTTTTCTGTTTTTCATAACTTTTTATTTTGGCATTTTAACCAAATATTTATTTCCACAGAGGATAAGAAGGAGGCATTGAAAATGTCTCAGAAACAAAATTTGGGCCTTTGCATATGCTCTTATTTATGCCTCACAACAGAGCCTCAAGATCAGGATTATTCTTCATTATTAAAATGTGAAGGCCAAACATTAAAGAACATACAAAAACAAAACTATATTCCAATTCTTCTAGTTCCTATTTGTATGCCCTAACAAGACAAGTTAAGTAACCTTGAGACTCAATTTCACTTCGCTTTCTTGTAACTAGGACTTAAAATAAGTAAATGAATATATGACTAAACGAATGAGAAAGGATATCACTTTATGGAATTGTAATGAGAATCTGAGAAAATGAATTTAAATAATAATAATAGCTCATTTTCTGAGTGTTGACTATGTATAAGACACTTTTATGCTGTGGTATGTATTTGAGGAAACAAAGAAACAGTGAAGTGAAGTAACTCACCCAAGGTCATACATCTCTATGAAGTTGGGAGAGCCAGGATTCAAACTCAGGTAGTCTAACTTTAGTGCCAGCACCTTTAACAATTAGGTACAATGGCGAGTCACAAATAAAAGGTGTTCACAATAGTCTCCTTACTATATTTTCCAAAAATACCTACTGCTTACCCTATCAGAACATGTATCAACAAGTGTTGTGCCTTATTTAACTATTATGTCTTCTGACAAAACTAGGAAACAGCACTATTTTTTTCAGAGCTCTAATTTCAAGGCTTGACACAGTGCCTACCTTCCATGTAGAACATAATAAATAAAATAATAATAAATATTTGGTAGTTATTAAATTATATTATTACTTAATAGTTCTTTTACTATAAGCAGAAGGAGAATGCAGCACATAATAAAGGAGGCTTTGGGATTATCCAAAAATCCCAAATATGCTCTGTAGTACACAAACCTAAAACATAAATCAGTCAGATACACTGTTTTGCCATTACTGAACTATGCAAAAGCAACATGTCCCCTTTCCTCTTTCACAAACATTCAAAATTTTAACTAAGTATTATTTAATTTTTATTCCTTCAACCCACAGCATTGTAAAATACTATATATAATATTTGAAGCAAGAAAGTGACCGGTAAGAAAGAATAAAAATTAATATAATTGTATGCTAAATTTTACATATGTGCATTTTTCCAGGCTGAAGGCATAAAGCTTTCATTAGATTTATCTAGGAGCCTGGTGGCCCAAAAAAAGGTTCAGAATGCAAGACAACTGTTTCAACAATAGAAAAAGCTATACTCTTCTTGACGTTTACTCACCAGAAATATCCATGAATGCACGATCCCACAATTCACCTACTGTATAGCATTCTGCAGAAGTGATGTTGACTGAAAGAACAATATCATCTTCAACATATTTTAGTATGAGATTATTTATAACAATATTTACGTTATTTACAACTCGTCTAATCAGACTCTGCACATAACCTATAAAATAGGGGAAAAAAGAAACCAATTAGAAGTTAAATCTATCAATAAATAATTATTCTTAAAATGTTACTAAAGTTAATATATGTGAAAGACAGGTATCATTTATCATATTTTGCAAAGATGAAACTAACATTCAGATAAGTAAACAGGCTTGCCAAAGAGACACAGCTAATAAGTAGCAGATCCATCCCAACAAAAACCATTACAAAGAAGTTCTATATAATGAAGTTTCACATTCTAAGAGAAACCGTATAAGCCATACCTTTTAACAACATAATTCTAGATCCCATTCAAAGATTATCCTAATCTACAAGTACTTTGTCTGATTTCTGCCTATTTTATAAACACTTTCCCAAATGAAACAATGTTACTATATACTGATTATACAATACATAAGAGGAAGAAGAGCTTCTTTAAGGTTCTTTTTGCAGCTACTGTCTTGTCTTCCTACTTTAAATACCCATAAAGATATTCAAAAACAAGGTCTGGAGGAAGAAAGATAGAAGAAACAAGACCATCATAACGGATTCAATGATTTCCACTTACTAATGTATAATACTGAAACACGGAAAGGGGGAGAATATGACTGAGGAAGAAAACACAGAAAGTATTAGAGAAAAAGGGGAAAAAGAACACAATGAAGAAGAGAAAAGTAGGGAAAGAAAGAAAACAGATAAAGCATGATGAGAATTCATAATCTCACAAGTTTCTCACACAATAAATGTGTATATAGATATATTACTGAGGAATATAATTGAAAATATAAGTGAAACTAAACCTAAACAGCATTTAAAAAGACAAAGGAGAAAAAGATTAAAAACTTTATTCAAGTGCATTTTCCACTATAAAACCTATGTAAAAAATAATAAAAATTTTAGCTATTTCATGAAATAACTATCTGCTTGTATTCTTTAAATCAGAACTTTACTGACAAAATAGAATCAACTTCTGTCAGCAACTGACATTGTTAACACCTACACTGAAGCCTGCTAGAAGAAAGCTTACTTAAATTTATTCCACCACAAATGCTTGCAAAAACCAACTCCTTCATTAATTACCAATGGATACAAACAGAAAAGAAATGTAGAATGATTAAGTTCAAGTTTTTCTCATATTAGCAGCTTTTAGAGTGCCAATTACCATATGCTATAAAATTAACATACAAAATATCAATAAATTTAGGGAACAAATACTTTACGAGAGTAGATGCTAAAATGATGCTTAACAAATTACGCTTCCAAAAGAAATTCTAAGTATCAAAATGTTCAACCTTAAAATGTATATTTCCCCCATGCTATCACCACTCAAGAGAGATGTTAAAAATGAACAGTTTCGGGCTTCCCTGATGGCGCAGTGGTTGAGAGTCCGCCTGCCGATGCAGGGGACACGGGTTCGTGCCCTGGACCGGGAAGATCCCACATGCCACGGAGTGGCTAGGCCGGTGAGCTATGGCCGCTGAGCCTGCGCATCCGGAGCCTGTGCTCCGCAACGGGAGAGACCACAACAGTGAGAGGCCCACGTACCACAAAAAAAAAAGGAAGTTTCTGAGAAGTCAAGAAGCATGACTAACATTGGTTTTCCTATTTCTGAAAAACCTGTCATCAATAGAGAATTCATAAAATCCTCTTAAGAGTTTGAGTTTTTATTGTCTCCCCTGCCCCAGAAAAAAAAAAAAACTCTCAGAGACAGAACCAGAGAAAACATATAATGCAAAGTAACGAAAGAAACATGATACTGTAAATGTACTGTAACTGACAGAAAACCTACTGATGGATTTTTCATCTACTTATTAACATCTTCTCTCAGTTTCTCATCATACAAGCTGAGATGAATAAGCCAAATCACCAAAGTAACAGAAACAAGTATCTAAAAAGAACTACTTCTACAGAAGACTATTTATGTCTTCGTATTAAAACACGCAATGCCAAACAGGAACTAACCAACAGAATAAATGATACACTATCTCCTTAATCCCTCATAATAACTTAGTTCAAAGTTTGCTACAGAAAAATGTCAAAGAGCAGATCTGGGCTTCCCTGGTGGCGCAGTGGTTGAGAGTCCACCTGCCGATGCAGGGGACACGGGTTCGTGCCCCGGTCCAGGAAGATCCTACATGTCGCGGAGCGGCTGGGCCCATGAGCCATGGCCGCTGAGCCTGCGCATCCGGAGCCTGTGCTCCACAACTGGAGAGGCCACAACAGTGAGAAGCCCGCGTACCACAAAAAAAAAAAAAGAGCAGATCTAAGAGCTCTCATCACTCCATATTTAGAGACTCCCTAGGAATATATCTGTTCAAGTGAAATAACAGTAATTCAGGTCTATTCCACAAGCATCTGAAAACACAAGGTCACTCTGGGGATAAGAACCTCTAAGACGTCACATTAGATGGCTCTAAAACAACAGCCTCCTACTAGTCAACCTTTCCAGAAATTCTTATCATTATCCAACTCTCTCCCATCCACAAACCCCATTCCTCCAAACACATACATCTAATGCCCACAAGGCCAAAAAAAACACTATAAATTTTCATTGACTTTGCTCATGACTTTGCTCTGTGTGGAACACTTTGTCCATTCTCCCATCTTGTTCAGGCCCAGTATGAATGTCCTCTGCCCTATATCCTCTTCTCCAATGTCCCTCACCCTACACATCAACATTAAGGAGACTGTATCACTTTTCTTGGGCTTATGTTACCTCATAAGCCTATCATTTGTATATGTTTATGTATAATTACCTTCTCTGTTAAACTATGAAATCCTAGAGAGCAAAGATTATATCTTATTTATTTATCTGATATGATTAAATTAAATAGTGTATGGCAAATACTTGGGTTACAAACAGACAGTACTTGCAATCAGTTTATCTTAACATGGTCACTAGGAAGCCAAGTTGCTCAAAAACAGAGATTCCATGGTTGATGACTTGGTTACAGCACCTAAAAACTTCCTCATCAAATTTTTGGTGTAAAATATTTTGGGGGGTTATGCAGCATAATATAGGCAACTTATAGTTAAAGGAAAAGTTAGTTCTCTCTAATGTTCTTGCCTTTTTTGTAAGGTTGAAATTATTCCAAAACAAAACTTATTTAGAAGGTTAAGAATAAGGATTCCTTATTGGTAATGCAGTAGAGAGGTTCTATAATACAAGAATTTTTTTTTTTTAAATCCATCAGCTTTGGTAACTAAAAGATAACTTAGGGCAGTTACTGTAGGAGCTAAGGAAAATAGCTGTGAGTTGAAGATACTTATTACCAGTATTATTATTTGAGACAGTCAGAGAATTTCTAAACAACTAAGGAAGGGTAAAAAAGAGAAATAAGTGTAAGTACTTACAAGAAGAACACAAAATCACCATTACATGAAGATGACTGTTTTTTATACAGAAAATCCAAAAGATATAACTGAAAAATACTGAATATAGATCAGCTAACAAAATATAAAAATTTGCTATTCTTCATAATGAAATGAAAAGAGAATGGTTTAAAAAAATGATAATTCCAGCTAGCAATAAAAGATATGATAGCATTTTCCATCTATAAAAGTTTCAAAGAAATATTTTTTGATAATAAAAAACAGCACTGGACCAAAAATGTGCTTGTTAGAAGATACTGTTAACAAATTTTTCACAGGGAATAGTTTGGTTACACATGCCAAAACCTTAAAATTACTCACAAATTTTGATTTTATAGTTGATAAAAATTTCTCCTAAGGAAATAAACAGAGGTGTGTGCAAAGATTTATCTACCAGTATGTTTGTTAAAGCATTTTACAAAACAGAAAATGAAAAATAACCTAAATAACAAACAAAAAGGGACTGATTAAACAAACTATGGAACAGTTACACAATGTAATACATGCCAATGATTAAAATAACATTATGAAAAAATTAATGTCCTTAAAACATGTTCCTAACATTAAAAAACACAAATTACAAAAAAAAATCTATATGTGTATGCGCGCGCGCGCGCACACACACACACACACACACACACACACACACACACACACACACACACACACACACACACACACACACACACAAAGAAACAAAAGTCTCTAAAAGGTTGTACATCAAAATGTTAACAGGTTCCAGGTTCTGGGTAAGATAAAGTAAGCACATTCCACTCCTTCTCACTAAAGGTAGCCAGAAAACCTGGAAAGAAAGTACGGAGCAGCTATTTCAGGACACTGAAAAGTAAACAGTAAGCACGAGAGAGGAAATAGAAGAATGAAAATCAGAGCTTACAAAGACAAAACAAATAATAAAATGGTAGAAGTAAATTCAAACATATCGGTAATTATTCTAATTTAATTGTATTGTGGCCAGAGAGGATGGTCTTTATGATAATGATTCTTTGAAATTTGTCAAGAATTCCTTTTTGACCAAGTCTTTTTCAATGTCTATACATATCCAATGTGTGCATCAAAAGAATGTACACTGTCTTATCTGCTGGGTGCAGAATTTTACATGTATCTATAAAATAATCTTGTTAATTGTGCTATTCAAAGACCCAGTTTGGGTATTTTTTTTTGTCTGCTTGATCTATCACATTTCGAACATAGGTTGTTAGGTACATACAAAGCCATCATATATTTTTTGGAGAACAGTACCTTTTACTATAATTCAGCATCTATTATATATGTCCATCAATACTTTTGCCTTAAGTTTTATTTTGCCTGATCTTTATGTTATTTTTGGATAGTGCTTGTCTACTATATGATTTTCCATCCTTTCATTTTCAATTTTTCTTACCTCTCCATTTTACCTCTGTGTTTTAGAAGCCACAAATACCTGGACATAACCACTCCTTTCTTTTAGTATCCCAAAAATATTAATTGTGCTTCCTTAGAGCTCCTCTTTGCTTTGGTTTTGCACTGTAGTTAGTAGTTTACAAAATCTCCTATACTAAGCCATTAATTCTCTAAGGGCAAAAATAGCCTTCAACTAGCTGCTCCAGCATACAGCAATAAAGATTTGGGGAACTGAACAGCCTGCCT